CAGGGATCCAGGCTGAGGGCGAGCGCACCCCTACCCCAGGGATCCAGGCTGACTGAGGGCGAGCGCACCCCTACTCCAGGGATCCAGGCTGAGGGCGAGCGCGCACCCCTACTCCAGGGATCCAGGCTGACTGAGGGCGAGCGCGCACCCCTACTCCAGGGATCCAGGCTGACTGAGGGCGAGCGCGCACCCCTACTCCAGGGATCCAGGCTGACTGAGGGCGAGCGCGCCCCTACTCCAGGAATCCTGACTGAGGGCGAGCGCGCACCCCTACTCCAGGAATCCTGACTGAGGGCGAACGCACCCCTACTCCAGGGATCCAGGCTGAGGGCGAGCGCACCCCTACCCCAGGGATCCAGGCTGACTGAGGGCGAGCGCACCCCTACTCCAGGGATCCAGGCTGAGGGCGAGCGCGCACCCCTACTCCAGGGATCCAGGCTGGCTGAGGGCGAGCGCGCACCCCTACTCCAGGGATCCAGGCTGACTGAGGGCGAGCGCGCCCCTACTCCAGGGATCCAGGCTGACTGAGGGCGAGCGCGCCCCTACTCCAGGGATCCAGGCTGACTGAGGGCGAGCGCGCCCCTACTCCAGGGATCCAGGCTGACTGAGGGCGAGCGCGCCCCTACTCCAGGGATCCAGGCTGACTGAGGGCGAGCGCGCCCCTACTCCAGGGATCCAGGCTGACTGAGGGCGAGCGCGCCCCTACTCCAGGGATCCAGGCTGACTGAGGGCGAGCGCGCCCCTACCCCAGGGATCCAGGCTGACTGAGGGCGAGCGCGCCCCTACTCCAGGGATCCAGGCTGACTGAGGGCGAGCGCGCCCCTACTCCAGGGATCCAGGCTGACTGAGGGCGAGCGCGCCCCTACCCCAGGGATCCAGGCTGACTGAGGGCGAGCGCGCCCCTACCCCAGGGATCCAGGCTGACTGAGGGCGAGCGCGCACCCCTACTCCAGGGATCCAGGCTGACTGAGGGCGAGCGCACCCCTACCCCAGGGATCCAGGCTGACTGAGGGCGAGCGCACCCCTACTCCAGGGATCCAGGCTGACTGAGGGCGAGCGCACCCCTACTCCAGGGATCCAGGCTGACTGAGGGCGAGCGCACCCCTACCCCAGGGATCCAGGCTGACTGAGGGCGAGCGCACCCCTACTCCAGGGATCCAGGCTGACTGAGGGCGAGCGCACCCCTACCCCAGGGATCCAGGCTGACTGAGGGCGAGCGCACCCCTACTCCAGGGATCCAGGCTGACTGAGGGCGAGCGCGCCCCCCTACTCCAGGGATCCAGGCTGACTGAGGGCGAGCGCACCCCTACTCCAGGGATCCAGGCTGACTTGAGGGCGAGCGCACACCCCTACCCCAGGGATCCAGGCTGACTGAGGGCGAGCGCACCCCTACCCCAGGGATCCAGGCTGACTGAGGGCGAGCGCGCACCCCTACTCCAGGGATCCAGGCTGACTGAGGGCGAGCGCGCCCCTACTCCAGGAATCCTGACTGAGGGCGAGCGCGCACCCCTACTCCAGGAATCCTGACTGAGGGCGAACGCACCCCTACTCCAGGGATCCAGGCTGAGGGCGAGCGCACCCCTACCCCAGGGATCCAGGCTGACTGAGGGCGAGCGCACCCCTACTCCAGGGATCCAGGCTGAGGGCGAGCGCGCACCCCTACTCCAGGGATCCAGGCTGACTGAGGGCGAGCGCGCACCCCTACTCCAGGGATCCAGGCTGACTGAGGGCGAGCGCGCACCCCTACTCCAGGGATCCAGGCTGACTGAGGGCGAGCGCGCACCCCTACTCCAGGGATCCAGGCTGACTGAGGGCGAGCGCACCCCTACCCCAGGGATCCAGGCTGACTGAGGGCGAGCGCGCACCCCTACTCCAGGGATCCAGGCTGACTGAGGGCGAGCGCGCCCCTACTCCAGGAATCCTGACTGAGGGCGAGCGCGCACCCCTACTCCAGGAATCCTGACTGAGGGCGAACGCACCCCTACTCCAGGGATCCAGGCTGAGGGCGAGCGCACCCCTACCCCAGGGATCCAGGCTGACTGAGGGCGAGCGCACCCCTACTCCAGGGATCCAGGCTGAGGGCGAGCGCGCACCCCTACTCCAGGGATCCAGGCTGACTGAGGGCGAGCGCGCACCCCTACTCCAGGGATCCAGGCTGACTGAGGGCGAGCGCGCACCCCTACTCCAGGGATCCAGGCTGACTGAGGGCAAGCGCACCCCTATTCCAGCAACCCCACCAGAGGCCGAAAGGCAGGAACACCTGCAGCCCCATGGCCCCAGGGAAGAATGGCAACAAATCCAGGAACAAGGATGCTCTCCTGTCAGGGGAACCAAGGCAAGGCGCCGGGGTATTGCCCTCTGGCGAGGGCGGTCCTGTGACCTCGCCCCATCCCACAGAGGCTGACCTGGGTCCCACCCCTTCTCCCAAAGGTCAGTGTGGCCTGAGGACCGGGCTCTGAGACTCCAGGTCTGGCGGCCTCTCGGCTGACTGAGGTTTACACAGGTCTCCTCGGAGTTCTGAGCAGACGTCCTCTGCAAGGATCCAAATCAAACTAAACGGGTAACCGCACTGCAAACGAAGTCTCTACCACACGCCTTTAAGTAGCGGAAGGCTCCTCCGGTTCTTCGAGAAAGCTCAAGTCATTGAAACTGGTGCATGTCCCAGTCCGCTGAGAGCCAGCCAGGGAGGGCAAGGAATCCCGCCTCTGCCCGCTGCACAGCGGCCGGCTGTCACACGCCTGGCCAGCAGGCCGAGCCACAGCCTGGCAGTGCTGACCGGGACCCAGTGAGCACTGTGGAGGGCCGACACCCTGGCCTGTGCGGGTCACCGGGCTGAACTGCCTTCCGGCACCTGCTGCCCGTGTGGTCACTTTCCCTGACAAAGCGTTTCTCCCCCCCAGCCGGCCAGCGTCCCGAGGGCAGGTACCAGTGGCGCTTCCTCGCATCACCAGGCTCACGGGCCCCGACAGGCTCGGCAGTCAGTGCGCGATGCCCATCAGTGCACAAGGCTGGGATCCAGAAGCAGCAAGCAGGGGTTCCGGCCCACTCCCCTCACCAAGGCTTGTGGGAGCAGGAGCCACAGGAGCCTGGTCAAGGTGGTATCGGCTGCTCGGCCGTGGGCCGGGATTTCCCAGGGTCCTAACACACACACCCAGGCAGACACACCACCTGAACCCAGCACAGGCCTTGCAGAGGGCAGTCAGTCAACGGCCCACCACCCACCACCGAAACCACGCGCCAGCTGGGCTGCCTGTTCACCTGACACAGGCTGCATCTCTCCCAGGTTGCTTTGGAGGACATGAGCATCAAAAGAGGAGCCAGAAAAGGGGGCTGGCTTAAGATCCCCACTATCGATCACAGCCCTAAGCAGGACGGACCCTGGCCTCTCACTAAGCACTGAGTGATCTCGGATCTGGCTCCCGAGGTCAGGGTGAGGCCCCTTCTCCACACCCTCCGCCGTCCACCCTGCCCGCTCCTGCACATGCACACGCACGCCCTGGGTCCCCAGCCTTCCCGAGCGAGCGGCGCTCCCGACTCAGGCCCCACCCGCAGCAGGGAGGGGGTGGCAGGAGCTCGCCAGTCCGGGAAAAGGCGAGACACACTGGAAAAGCCGGTTGGGTGTTTCTGTTTCAAGGGTAACTGGGGAGTCACGGCACAGCACAGTCAGAACTATGGGCCAGGCTGATCTGGGGGACCCAAAGCGACAGGGAGCCCCTCACAGATGGACGACGGGGCAGACAGGAAGTGAGCACTGTCCAGACAGGCCTCTGCAGCTGCCCAGGCAACGGCGCCTCCGAAAGTCGAGGCGGCTGTCGCTCCAGCGCTCTCCCCCACACCCCACCCGGGTGCTGCTGTTACTCTCAGAAGTGACCAAGCCCCTCCTAGATCATCTCCTACACCCCTCCACTGGCTGGCCCCCCTGCTGAGACGGCCGACCTGCAGCCTGGCTCAGCTGGTGTCACGTGCTGAGGTCAGAACACTGGGGCCGCCCCTGCACCAAATATGCCACCTGCCTGAGCAGGCCCGTGGGGCTCCAAGGAGAGAGCAGGCCACCCAGGAGGCATCAGAGTCTCCTGGGGAGTTTTTAAAAACACTGTGCTGGGTCCAAGCCCCAGAGCTAGTCTCAGGCCTGGGGCAGCCTGGGCTTCTTACAGCGCAGCCCAAAGACCACCGGTTAAAGGAAAGAAGAGTTCAACCTGAGGATTCCAAGGTGATCGACGTCCAAGAGCAGACAAGGACTGCAGCGGTCTGCGGCCGGGACCCCCACCCGGGACGGGAGGGCGAGGCACCACCACCCTCCTCCCTTGCTCGGCTACTCCAGAAGCCTCGAGAACCCACACCGGAGTAAGCAGGCTTCTCAACCAGCAAAGAGAAGCAAGGAGAGCCACGCAGTCCACTCGTGGCTCAGAGCCCTCTGCAGGGTGCCCTCGCCCTTTGGACTCAGGACCAAGCAACTTGGTGGTGCGGTCTCCCCCGCGGCAGTCCCCTTGCTGAGCACGGGCTCAATCCCCCCCGTGCACGACTGACCGTGCACCTGGGACTGTGCGTGCGCGGGCTGTCCCGGGGGGTGACCGCTGAGAGGCATCCTGACAACAGGCAACTCAGACGCGGACCCTTCGGAGGCAGCACGTGCGGCACAGCCTCGGCCTTCCCAGCTTCAGGCAGCGCAGTGGTGAGGGAGAGGCTGGAAACCGGGCTGTTTAGCAGCAAACACCTGACCCCTGACCACCCCCATCCCAGAGAAGGGCAGGACCGTGCAGTCGCCTGATCAGGAGAGACCAGCACACACCTCGGCCGCTCTCTGTGAGAGGAGCTGTGCGCATGTTTGGAGACAGCCACCGAGCGAGCCACCAAATGACTCGATTTCAGTTTCTAGTGAGTAAGAGGGAGAGATTTTTGCACAAGTGACATGTACTCCAATGGACCAGTGAGACACGCCCGCGGGGCTGTCAGGCAGGCGCAGACACCAGCACTGAGGGTTGGGCGGCCGTGCCCTGTACCTTTGGCATGGAAGGTCCAGCCCCTCCGCCAGTACTCCTGCAGCTGGACGCGCTCCTGCTGCCCCAGGCTGCACACCTCTCTGTAGAACTGCCGCTCGATGTGCACGTAGGCCGCCGGGATGGCGCCCGCCACCCCCTTGGCCCCGAAGAAACCGTTCACCTCTGGAGAGGCCAACAGGATCTGGTACTCGGCCCGCGTGCCCAAGACCAGGTCCATGTAGGCCTGGGTCAGGTTGAAGTAGCCGGTGGTGAGGTAAACCCTGGCGCCGCGCTCGGCCTCGGTCAGCAGGGTCTCAGTGACAATCTCGTCGATCTGGATCTCAAAGGGCTTCATCTGGATCAGCGGGTAGATCCAGGTGTCGGGCACCGGCCTCCGGTGACCAGCGGCTGCCGCATCGTCCTGGGTCACAAGGGAGTCGCCGTGGAAGGTCTGGGCGTGCAGCACCTGCTGGCGGGTCCGGGCCGAGTTGATCACGTCCATGACCCTCGCGTTGGCTGCCCTGCAGTATGCAGCTCGGTCACCTGAGGGAGGGGAGAAGGGACGGAAATGGAGGCTCTGGACTCCCACCCAGCACACGACAGGCACGCAGATGCCACAATGATCATTACTGAACACACTTCCACAGAGCAGCAGGTGCCATGGATATAAATGTCCAAGAAATGGCCTGGCTGCGAGAGGCCCACACCCGTTCTGCTTACAAGAACTTCCATCAGCCCTGGCCGGTGTGGCCCAGTGGTTAGAGCGTCGGCCTGAGGTCCAGAGAGGCCCGGGTTCGGTTCCCGCTAAGGGCACGTACCTCGGTTACAGTTTGTCCCCGGCCCTGGTTTGTTGTGTGGGTGGCAGCCACTTGATGCGTCCCTTTCACGTTGATGTTTCTCTCTCTCTTCCTCTCTCTCCCTCCCACTCTGTCTGAACAAAAAATGGAAAAATGTCCTCGGGTGAGGATAAAAAAAAACAAAAAACTTCCAACAGGCCAGACTCACTGCAGGGGAAGTGACCAGGACGGTGGGCACCTCGGGAGGTCATGCCAGGAGAGGGGACACGGGCACATACACAAGCCACACACCTGTGGCACTCGGTGGGGACGCCTGTCAACAGACACGTGTAAGTATAACAAACAGAGGGAGCACGAGCCACCCCACAGCCAGACACCAGCACGGCTGGGGATGGGGCGGCTGCAGCGGGTGGTGACCACAGGAGGGGCCTCCGAGGGCCTTGTTTATTTACACAAGACCCTGGTGACAAGGAGCTGTCCAGACATGCTCAAGGGCAAGAAATGACCATAAATGCTATCATTAGATGAGAAAAGACTGAAAACGAATGAGCTAAGTATCCAACCGAAGAAGTTAGGGAGGACACAACAGCTAAAGACCCAAATACAGTCTGAGAAAGAGACGACACAGGAATGAATGAGAACAGCACAAACACAGACCCACGTCGTCAGAAGCCGCGTCTCTGCTGAAACGGCGAGCCTTCAGCAAGGCCGGCGGAGACCAGCAGGGGAACGGGACGCGGCCCTCGGCCACACTCCTTCCTGGCTCCACCATCAGGCGCCGCCTCCTGCCCTGCCTCAGGCTGCGGCCCTGCACCGGCTGCTCTTGCCCAGGGCCCCCTCCAGAGCCGCCCAGTCGGCCCTCCTCACTCAGCCCACTGACTCGCATTCTTCCCCGAGTGAGGGGCCTTTTCCCACACACTCCTGCCTGGCCCGTTCCGTTGCACTGGGGTCAGCTGGTGCTCCTTGTATGGGCCAGAGAGTTAACATTTTAGGTTCTAGGAGCCAAAGGACAAAATTGAGGATAGCATGTAGGTGCTGGTTTATATAACAAGAGAGAAGACAGACTTTCACACATTTTGTGTTGGCAAAATTTACAAATGGAGGTGATGACCGAGCATCCTGGATGGCAGCGGGCAGGGCAGCCGCACGGTCCCCTGGCGCAGGGACAGGGCTTCCTCCAGGGTCCCCACTCTGATGCTCCCTTTCTGGGTGGGACCTAGGAGCTCTTCCCCAGTCTGGGCTCAACCCCTTCCCCACAGCGCTGACCCCGGCAAACCCAGCAGCAGGCCTGGAACGGCAGGAACGCAGACGCCAGGGAGCGCCGGTTGCCGGGACCTGCCCGTGCGCAGGCGGAGGGCGCTCCCTTCCACTCTCCAGGCAGGAGGCCGCAGACCTCCGCGCAGCTCGGAGCCACAGAGCCTCTGTGCGACACGGGGGGACGCCTTCCCGGGAGCGGGGCCCAGCTCAGACCTGAAGCCCTCGTCCCCATCTCCCTGGGCTGGCTCCCTCAGCCACAGAGTTACTGATGGCCAGTGAGTCAGTCTGGCTCCAGCGACACAAACAGAACCAGGCAAGGCCACCAGAGGCCTGCTCTCCTGGGCCCTCAGGCCACCCTGCCCCCAGCCCAGCAGGGCAGCATCGCCAGGCCCTACCTTCGTAGGGATGCACCATGCCCTCCACCACCTGCACCGTGTCATCTCCCTGCAGCTGCAGGGACACGTCCCCCACGGCGTCCACCAGCTCCGTGAAGAAGTCCGCAATGTCTGGACAGTCCTGCAAGAACACGTAGCGGTCCTGGCGGTTGGTGAAGTAGGAGTCGCTCAGGTTGGCGCTGCAGGGAGGAGAAGCAGATGAGGGTCTGGCAGAGGTGCAGCAGCGAGTCGTGGTGACCAGGTCTCGGGAGCCAGCAGGAGCAGGGGAGACAACTCAGACTAGGACACAATGGCGGTGGCAGCCAATGAACGCTGGCTACTGAGCATGACCACTCACAGGAGACGGGCAAGGTGGTGCTGACGTGGCACAAGAGTGGCCGGCAAAGCCCTCCCCTCACGGAGCTGACAGTCGGCTGAGAGGAGAGAGGTGCCACCCACCACCAGGGCTGGTTACCAGGGTAGTGACAGTGCCCGTGTTTTAGACTCGGAAGGACTGGGCTTCCTCCTGGCTCTGCCTGACAGTTTCCCATCCTCTCTGATCTCTGCTTTCTCGTGTGGAAACAGGAAACTCCTCCTCAGGGATGCTGTGAGGTCTTCAATGAGATACACACACAAGGGCCGAGCATAGTGGCGAGCAGACAGCAAGTGTTCAATAAACACTGCTTTTAATTTTTACAATGAGGAGTATGTGCCACAATTTTATTTAACGATTTATTTATTCTTCTTCTCTTCCCATCCTCCCACTCTCTCCCCTCTGGCAACCATCAGATTGTTCTCTGTATCTGTAGGTCAGTTTGCTTTGTTTCGTTTATTCATTTGTTATTTTTTTAGATTCCACATAGAAGTGAGATCATGTCTTTCTCTGTCTGATCTATTTCACTTAGCATAACACCCTCTGGGCCCACCCATGTCGTCACAAATGGCAAGATTCCATTCTTTTCACTGCTGAACAAAACTCCACTGTATGTACAAACCCCGTCTTCATCCATCCATCTACCAGTGGACATTCAGGTTGCTTCCAATCCTAGTAACCCTGGACACTATATATATGTGTCTTTTCATAAATTCTCACCTGAGAATATTTTTCCATTGATTTTTAGGACGAGTGGAAGGGAGGGAGAGAGGGAGAGAGAGAAGCAATAAGAGAGACACGTCAATTGGCTGCCTCCTGCAGATGCCCCAACTGGGGACTGGGGATCAAACCTGCAACCCAATTACATGCCCTTCACTGGGAATGAAGCCCTTGACGCTTTGGTGCGCAGGTCAACGCTCTGACCTGAGCCACTCCAGCCAGGCAGCCCTGGCGATCTCTCCATCCCCTCTGTGGGCTCCCAGCCCCAGGGCACACGGCACGGGAGACCGAGAGTGAGGCGCGCAGAGCGGAAGTGGGAGAGCAGCGGTGGAGGCGCGAGGAGACAGCACTGCCGGGGAGACGGGGGACGGCAGACTCACCCGCTCAGGATGACGCTGTCGTCGAAGAGGTACACCTTGATGTGCTGGAGGCCGATGGTCTCGTTGAAGCGCTCTGGGAGCAGGAGCCGCAGCAGCCCCCGGAGGTTCGGGGTGTGGAAGAGGGAGACGCGGACCTGCTCCGGGAACCTCTGCAGCAGCGGGAGCAGCATGGTGCGCGAGTTCTTCCTGCCTGAACACACGAGCGGGAGGACAGGCGCGTCACGCCAGGAGAGCAGCCGCCTGCCGGTGCGGAACTGCCCACCAGAGGCCCGCGTTCGCCTGTGATGCGTCTCCATCGGTCAGCCCCACGTGCCCTCCCTGCCAGAGGAGCTCTGGGCCAGCCTGTTCTGCACACCCGCCATCTCGGGGCGGGACTGTGGTCGGTGCAGGGGACACCCGTCGCACCCACAGCACCGTCGCTCTCCCAGTCAACCCGCCTCCACTCTTGGTGTTTCTGCTCTGCGTGCAGATGGCTCAGCCCACCCTGAGCCCACACCCAGCCCCATGGGGGATGGAGGGGCACCAGGCCTGGGCTGGTCTGCCCACTGGAAGCTCTGCTCTGACCATCAGGCTACAGACTCTTCCAAAGGACAAGATGTCGTGGTGGGGAAGGGCCTGGCTGTCAGAGGCCACGGCACGAAGAACGAAGCCAGTCAAGGACACAGGGCCAGGAGGTGTGTCCTGGCGACACACCCGAACCCCAATCACAAGCTGCCCGCAGCAGGCAGTCACGGGAGTCAGAACAACTCTTTTTGCCGAAGTTGTTTTCAGTTGGGCTTGCAGTCACGTGCTGCGGAAGGGACCCTGACTCGGATCATCTCAGTCTGGGGCCCACCAGACGGTCCTCAAACTGGTGCCTGAAGACGGGGAAGGTGTGTGTAACTCCTAACCCAGAGGTTCAGAAAGAGGAAAAACCAGGGGTGCGTGGGGAGGGCGTCAGACCTACCTCTCGAGCCGCGCAAGAAGTCCAAGAGAATGGACACTTTGAGGTCTGAAGGAAACTTCGCTTGGAGTGACTTTTCTAGAGCGCTTTCGAGACAATCCACCTACCAAGAAACAGAAGTGTAAGGTCCAAAAAGATGACTACGTATGGAGGGTGAATCAACCTGCCACGTCCCACAGTCCTCTCTGAGCACACCCCATCAGCACTCAAAAGCCAACACCCCGAAAACCTTCATCTGAGCCCACCTCAGTAACGTCATCAGAAGATGCCACCTGCCGGCCTCTCCAGCCTGGGCCTCGCAGGAGAGGGGTCTGTGGGTCAGGCATGGGTCAATGTCCAGGCGAGCAGTCTGGACACTGCCACCTGGGAGATGCTCCCCAGACACCAGCTCCCACACACAGTCAACAGGCCACCCTCACAGACAGGCCAGCCCATGCCCGACACATGGGGAACAGCCAGTGAGCAGGCGCTGAATACGAGAATCCAAGACACAATCTGCCCGCGGGCCATTGCCCACGGGCCATTGCCCACGGGCCCCTCTCCACGGGCTGGACAGGACATTCTTCTCCAGGAGAACCTGGTGGCTAAGAGAGTCCTGGAAACAGGGGCCTCCCGCCTCAGAGGGAAAGAGGAGGTGGACGCACTCATGCCCACCCACCTTCCCCCTGGTGCCCCACACCCCAGCCATTGCTGCCCAGCCCCCCCTGTGGCTTTGTGAACAGGGTGAACCAAAAACGGCACTTCCTCCGGGCAAAGGGCCCACCTCACTGCCTCAGAGCAGAGACCACCGTGGGACTAAGAACACGCCGCCCTCATTCACCCTCACCCCGCTCAGCCCCCAGGTCTGCCCGCCTCCAGGGCCCGCACCACAGGAGCATGGCCAGCACCAGAGGGTGACTTCTGCTCCTCCCACCTGCCATCCCCCTGCAGGCGGCCAGCGCGGCCCCACAGCCAGTCTGGGCACCTGACCCAGCCCGCCTCTGGTCACTTGTCTAGGGCAGCAACCTTCAACCCTTCTCAGCACAGAAACGCATTACTGCAATTCTGCAGCACACCGAAAAAATCTTTTTTGCCAGTCTGACAAAAAAAAAAGGTAAAATGTTGATACAGTTACACATACAGCTATTGTTGTGTTAGCTGTTGTCCTTCTCTCCTTGACAATCTAAAGGAAACAAGGTCAGTGCCCCGACTAAACAGTCAGGCACCGCGCGTCAGCGGCCCTGCCGCAGGGCACCGGCTGGACCCTGCTGGGCCAGCACAAGGCCAGAACACCTTTCCTCCGAAGGGCAGGCAGCAAGACCTGGGCTCCGTGGGCCAGACGGCCTGTTAGTTACCGGCTAGAACCGCACGAGGACGCAGACGCACAGAGCACAGGGGGTGGGGGGTCTGCTAGCTCCCGGCTCGCACTGCACGAGGACGCGCACAGAGCACGGGGGGTGGGGGGTCTGCTAGCTCCCGGCTCGCACTGCACGAGGACGCAGACGCACAGAGCACGGGGGGTGGGGGGTCTGCTAGCTCCCGGCTCGCACTGCACGAGGACGCAGACGCACAGAGCACGGGGGGTGGGGGGTCTGCTAGCTCCCGGCTCGCACTGCACGAGGACGCAGACGCACAGAGCACGGGGGTGGGGGTCTGCTAGCTCCCGGCTCGCACTGCACGAGGACGCAGACGCACAGAGCACGGGGGGGGGTGGGGGGTCTGCTAGCTCCCGGCTCGCACTGCACGAGGACGCAGACGCACGGAGCACGGGGGGGTGGGGGGTCTGCTAGCTCCCGGCTCGCACTGCACGAGGACGCAGACGCACGGAGCACGGGGGGTGGGGGGTCTGCTAGCTCCCGGCTCGCACTGCACGAGGACGCAGACGCACGGAGCACGGGGGGTGGGGGGGTCTGCTAGCTCCCGGCTCGCACTGCACGAGGACGCAGACGCACGGAGCACGGGGGGTGGGGGGGTCTGCTAGCTCCCGGCTCGCACCGCACGAGGACGCAGACGCACAGAACACAGGGGGTGGGGGGTCTGCTAGCTCCCGGCTCGCACCGCACGAGGACGCAGACGCACAGAGCACAGGGGGTGAGGGGTCTGCTGGCTCCCGGCTCGCACCGCACGAGGACGCAGACGCACAGAGCACAGGGGGTGAGGGGTCTGCTAGCTCCCGGCTCGCACCGCACGAGGACGCAGACGCACAGAGCACAGGGGGTGGGGGGTCTGCTGGCTCCCGGCTCGCACTGCATGAGGACGGCTCGCACTGCACGAGGACGCAGACGCACAGAGCATGGGGGGTGTGGGGGGGTGGCGGTGCTCCAGGACGGCTTTCCTCGGGGACACAGAAGGTGCCTTTCACACGCTTTTCGTGCGGCACAAACACTCTCTTCTTTGGACTTTCCCCCAGTCATTTGAAATGTAAAAGCCAGTGGTAGCCCTGGCCGGTGTGGCTCAGTTGGCTGCAGCACTGTCCCCTGCACCAAAGGGTTTTGGGAGCGATTCATGGTCAGGGCATATACCTAGATTGTAGGGTTTAACCCCCAGTTGGGACACCTGTGTGAGGCAACCGACAGATGTTTCTCTCTCTCCCCCTCCCTCCCTCTCCCCCCTTCCTTTCTTTCTCTAGAATCAATGAAAAAAACAGTCTTGCCCTGGCCGGTTTGGCTCAGCGGTTGAAGCGTCAGCCTGCGGACAAGAGTCCCAAGTTCGGTTCCCGCTAGAGGCACATACCAAAAACAAACAAAAACAAAACAAACAAACAAACAAAACAGTCTTAGCTCACAGGCCACACAAAAACAGGCAGCAGTCCAGATCTGGGGAGCCCTGCACTGGCAGAACAGCAGGGGACCCCTGTGCAGGGTGAGGAGGGCACTGACTGCAAAGCCAGACGCCCAGGACTAGGCCTCCCCACACCCTCCTCCCTGTCTTCCTGACATGCCCCAGTATGCGGGGCAATGAGAGCGAGAGCAGGCCAGGGGTGGGGGCCGGGGAGGGCCGCTCTGCTACGCCAACACCAGGCACCACGCAGTGTGAGATATGGAGGCAACTCACTGTCCCACCAGGACCGCCTCCCCTTAAGCCAGGAGTGGGAACCTTTTTTCTGCCAACGGCCATGTGGATATTTATAACATCATTTGCGAGCACACAAAACTATCAACTTAAAGACTAGCCTGCTCCCTTTGGTCAGGCTCATTTGGTGAGGTGTACAATGCGAGCTGGTATTGATTTCGAGGGCCTTAGACAGCCTGAGGCCTGGATGTTCCCCACCTCTGATTTAAACCTACCAGTTCCTGTTCCAGAGGACCCGTCCCCAGGTAGAGAGACGCCATCACGATCCGCCTCTTGGCTCCTTTTATCTGCCCCTGAGAAAGAAGACAATCCAGAGTTCACAACCATTTCAGAGCTTGCTGAAAAAACAGTCCTTGCACCGTGGAGGCAAGTAACACCCCACGCTGAACTACTCTGCTCCCCAACATGTGCACGGGAACCTGCCGAATCAGGACCCACAGTCCTCACTAAAACACTCCCCCTGAAAGAGAAGCACGCTCTAACTCTGCACAGGGCGCATTGTGGCAGTGAGGGGGGAGGGTCTGTGCACACGGCCTGGGGACATCCGCCCGGCGTGGCCGGAGCAGAATGAGCCCCACACCACTCGTCCCCCACTGCACACATGTGCACACAGGACTCAGAGGAGCAGAACTCAGAGGAGGGTGCAGGTGCAAACCTTTGCGCTGGAGTTTATACTGAGCAGGTATCATTCTTGAAGTGCAGACAGACAGGTATTGAGACACAAACATCCCAACATTCACAGATGACACATCACGTTAGTCCCAACAGCCGTGTCCTCTCCCTGGAGGAGGTGGCCAGGCAGCAAGAACAGCGGCACTGCCAGGGCCAAGCTCTGGACAATGCACGGGAGGGTGAGGCCTGGTGGCAGGAGGGCAGGTAGGAGCGCGCGTGGGCCTCTCTCCTCTGCAGGGATTTGCACCCAGTCTGCGCTGTCAGCATAAGAGGCATCTTAATGGCTGACCACATCAACACACCACTGGGAAGAGGCATACATACAAGGAAAAACAAAAGAATCTCCCAAGTTTCCTTTGTTTTATTATTGATTAAGACGGATGCCTGTGGGGAAGGTGATCATGAAGAAAGAGAAAGGAAGGAAAACAACCAACAAGACAGCAGGCAGTTAGTTCAGGCAAGACCACCTGACTGTTGGCTGGGGGACTCCAGGTGCCCTGGCACAGCCCAGCTGCGACCTCTGCCCAGGGAACACAGGCCCCTCTGTCCGTCCTGGGGAGGAGCATCCCACTTGGTGTAGAATGTGCTGGAGTCGGCCCAAGACCCAGCTTAGAAGGGAAGAAAAGGCCTGGGCTCCTTCCTGGCCTCTGTAGCCCCACCCACCAGGCTGGTGTGCAGTGCAGCCCCGCCTCCTGGCCAGGGGACCACCACGTGGTGATTCAGTCATGCACCTGGAGTTGATTAGGACACCAAAAAGAACCTGTTTCTTCAGGCCAAGCAGAGAACCGAGTAGGAGCAAAGAGCAAACAGCCTCAGCATCAAAACCACACAAGCAGGGACGTGCAGTACAGGGAGCAGGCAGTGAGGGGGAGGAACGCCCACAGGCACACTCACGCATGCGCGCACACACATGCGCACATGTGCACAGAACGCGTTCTGGAAGGAGACAGCCAGGAATTAAGCTAGTGTGGACCCACAGGCCAGCAGGGCGGAGACAGTGAGCAAGCACTCCTGCGTGCGAGAGCTCACCCTGCAGAAAGGGAGTCTCTGCACACATTCCCTATCACCTCCCGGCATCTGCCTGTCTGACCTCAGCACACCTTGACTCTAGCACCACTGTTAAGAAAAATTAACGAGCACTGAATTACTTCATCCCAATTAGCAGTTTAACCACAGAGAACTAGACGTGGCACGAACATCTGAGTGGACCCCCCAAGTGCAAAGTCCAGCAACTCTACCAGGCAGACTTTAGATAGTCACAGAAGGGAACCAGGGTTCTAAGGGCCTCCCCGTCAACTGGAAAAGCCTCTTCACTGCATGAGAGGCTTCCGGCCACGTCCTATGTATCAACACCACCGTGGGCCTTCTGGGTCTTCATGTCCTGCATGTTCCGTCTACCCAGATGACACTGCTTGTTTGGAGGTGTCTTCAGGGACAGGGTCTATCATGCCCTGACCCCGATCAGGCTGGTTTCTTCCCAGCTGTTGTCAGCAGGGACGGGGCACAGCCTCACTACCTCCCCTCTGGTGGCTACACCTGCAGACCAGAGAGGAACAGCCGTCCACAGGGACCAGCACCCAGGCCTGCCCTCCCTTCCCTGTGCCCTGGGCTACTCTACATTAGCCAGCAGGGCGGCTTCTGACCATGGCTCAACTTGCCCGTTTGTGAAGCTGAAACCAACAGACAGAACCCACAGGAGTGAGCTGAGCTGCCATCAAAGCCTCCCAGAACAGAAGGTGCCTCCGGCCGGGACTCACCAGCCTAAAGCCCGAGCCCTGCACATGTCCATCGCTCCCTGCCTTACACACGACTTACCTTCATGAGCTCAAAGAACTCTGTGGGGGAAGAAAGCACCCTGACATGAGAACTGCAGATTCCGAACTCTGGGACCAGGTTTCTGATCCACTGGAACCTGTGCACACCCTCCGGACACAGGCAACAGGGCGGGGAGGTGACTGGGGGGACAGCTGGCGACAGCAAAGGAGCCAACAGCAGCCATGGTGACCTGGTTAGAGAGAGAAACATCGATGTGAAAGGGACACATCAAGTGGTTGCCACCTGCACTACCCAACCAGGGCCGGGGACAAACTGCAACCGAGGTACGCGCCCTTAGCGGGAACCGAACCCGGGTCTCTCTGGACCACAGGCCGACGCTCCAACCGCTGAGCCAAACTGGCCAGGGCACAAAGGGTTAAACTTCTCAAACACTTCCTCATAAGTCTCTCACAAGTACTGGGAGGGGGAGGGGGATTTGTGGGGTATTTCTTTGTTCTGTTTTGTTTTTGCCAATTTCAGATTTTCTAGACCATCTCAGGGGAGCTGCACAAGGGCTTTCCCTGCAGCCCCTCCGGCTGGGCGACTCACGAAGGGCAACGCCTGTGGATGAGCCCAGACCTCACGCGACTCCACACAGGCGCAGGCTCCCAGCAGCCACTGCAGGGCTCGCCCCCAAGCAGCCTGCCAGCCTGCACCACCGCGGCACCCAGACCACCAGCTGGATGACCTGAGACTCACAGCTCTCACTTAGGGAAGGACCCAGAACAATCACGTTTTCTCATACATTTAAGTAATGAATTAAACATTTGATCTAAAAAAATTGAGAAAAAATATTCTCAAGGGTGAAAAAAAGTTTTCTCTTTGGTACTCAGATGTGGAGAGAAAAGCTGGAGCTGAAAGAGGTTGGGGACGAGGTCATTTCAAGAGGCGCCACAGGGGCGTCAAGGTCCCTTCCCCGCTGGACACCTATCCTCGGGGGTCGAGCCCTCCTCTGGGCTGGGCTGTGGACCACAGGGAGTGCACCCTGGCCCTGCAGTCTCCCGAGCTGTGGCTGCCCCAGGACTGGGACACCTGCAGGGACAGGGCCTGCACAACCCTGGCCCTATTCTGAATTCCCGAAAACTGCCACAGGAAAATCCTCCTCATTGTGTGACCTTCTAGCACGGCCTCAAGGGGGACTCTGGGGGAAGGGTGCTTAAACACCCCAAGGGCTGAAGAGCCACAGATTCCAGGAAGATGACTTCACTGACTGGCCTCACAACAGTGCTCCAGTCTCCCAGGCTTGTGCTGGGCCGTGCGGACGCCAGCGGGCCCACAGCTGTGCTTCCCGGCAAGCCCGCCGGGCTGCCCAGCGACTCGGCGCCAAGAAAACTTCAGTCAACGGGGAGGTGCTGGCGGCCTGGGTCCCGAGGCCTCAGAGGGCAGAGGTGAGGGCGCAGCTGCCCCTCCCCATGTCTGAGGGTGGTGACCGCATCTGTGCGCACACGCACGTCATCACTTGCTAAGTTTCCCTGGCTCCCAGGCAGTGAGCAGCAGCTCACGAATGAAAGGCCGAGATGCTCAACAAGGGACAACTGCCCCGGTCCCCACACTGCGGCCGTCCCCCACTGTGCTCAGACTGCGCCCGGGAGAGCCGCGATCCTCAGTCCAGCGCGAAGCCAGAGACAAGTGCAAGCTGGACCCTGCCGCGGCCGGAGCCCAGGCCTGTCGCAGGCTCTCCCGAGACGGCCTCTCTGCGGTGAAACCCCGGCAGCAGCGCCGACCTCTCCAGCCTCACAGCACCTGTCAGGGCTCACACAGAGAAGGCCAGTGTTGCCCTGGCCAGTTTGCCCAGTGGTTAGAGCGTCGGCCCTCGGACTGAAGAGTCCCAGGTTCAATTCCCGGTACAGGGCATGTACCCTGCTTGCAGGTTTGATCCCAGCCCTGGTCAGGGTTATGCAGGGGCAACAAACAGATGTGTGTGCCCCCCCCACCCCCGCAACTCTATCTAGAAATCAATGGGAAAATATCCTCGGGTGAGGGTTAAAAAGAAAAGACCAGTGTCACCTGCGCCCCAGGCCATGCAGTAGCCCGCAGGGAGGATGCGGGCTGGGAGACTCAGCTCCCAGAAAGGAAGATGAGGAAACACCTCCTTGGCACAAACACCCAGGAGAGGGCAAGTGCCAACCTGGGCCTCCACCCAAGTCCCCACGTGAGCTCCCACATACCTGCTGGCCTCACAGGCTTACATACCTGACATTATGGGAGACACCACAAGAAAAAATGCTACAATCAACTAAATAAGGTCAGAACACACAGTCCACATGCTTCAAGGGAGGCTGACTACCGGGAGGCTTCACCTCACCTGCCACACCGGCCATCCCACGGGTATTCAGACCCTGGCGAGATCCAGACAGGGATGGAGGTGTGAGCAGGTGCTGGCCAAAGCCGCTGTGGCTGGAAAAGCCAGGAGGGTCTCGACAGGCAGCCAGGGTCCACAGAGGTGAGCCCCAGCCAGCTGCCCTGCGGGAGAGGCACCCTGGCATGCTCGGACAGGCTCCCGCTGCGGGAGGTGTCGCCCCACCAGGCAGCTCTCCCTGGGAACGTTCCACCAGGCCTCAGTCCAAGATCTGCTGAGGGCTTCTCTGGTGGCTTCCTGTTTCATCATGTGGACGGACAGGTTTGTTTGTGTTTGAGAGCAATAGCAGCCAAAGGCCAATTGCGTTGCAGGGATCCACCGCAGAGCGGCCCAGCCTCAGCAGTCATTTCAAAACCAAAGAGAGAGGTGCCCAGGAAGGGGGCAAAGCGTCTTCTCAAGGCCCCCAGTGGCAGCACAGGCCGGAGACCACAGCCAGCCCTACCTGCCTCCACAGGGGGCAGGCGACACCCTCACCTGCGTGCCAGCTGCTGGCTTCTCCAAAGTCCACTCAGGGGCCCGTTGGTTTTCTTCTGGCTCAGCCAGAACCCCACCATGCTTGGTTCCCGCTTCCCACCAGGGAGCCCAGGGAGTTCGCTCAGAAAAGGGTCCCGGGTGCTAGCAGCAGGCCTGCTGCAGTGGCCCTGGGCCCAGGGCTGGGCACCTGCACCAGGACCTCCCTTGCTCCAGGGCGCTTTCCTAAACCTCAGGTCGCAGGCCACCCTCCCACCCCGGGATCCGAGGAGGCAGGGAGCTGGGCTCACTTCACCAAAACTGCACATCCTGGCACACTTGCTCAGGGAACTGAATGGCGCATGCACACACGAGCCCACATCTGGACCTGGGCTCCCTCCTGCAGGGAGCGTGCGGGCGGGCTCTGCAGCCCACACCGCTGACACAGCGGGGCACTTAGGAAACAGGGCTCGGCAAGAGCAGGGGCCAGGCAGGAAGACGCCAACACACCAACAATGCAGACCGGCCCTGCCTGCAGTTCCCAAGGTGCGGTGGGGACTGGCACCCTCTCCACTGGGCAGGCTCCAGCACCCGCCGGGCACCTGACTCTGGGGGAAGGTTCAGCCACGTGGTTTTAGGCTTCCCTTGGAATCTGCAGATTCCCTGAACTGGCACCAAGGATCCCTGACCTGGGGCCCCATTTCTCCACCTGGAGAGGGGCCCAGGGGAGCGGGTGAGAGGACAGAAGCTGGGTAGCAGGGTGACTCTGGCAGGGCAGTGAGCATGACGGAGGGGCAGGGAGGGGAGGGCAGCTTCTCCCCACCTTCTCTGGAGGAGCCGCATCTGGACTGCCCTAAGGCGCGTGTGCACCGATCACCCTGACCCAGAGGCCCTGGAGTGCGGGCCGCCAGGACGCCGACCTGGCCCGACCAGGACAATGCCACCACCCCCCACCCCACCCCCGAGAGCTGTGGGACGGCTGGGATGTGAGTTCAGAGCAGTCAGCTGGACGGAACCGGCCAGGGCAGAGCAGCTGCGAGATGCTGGGCACACACCTTCTCAAAGGGAGCCTCGGGGGACAGGCAATTCTGCTCTTCCTGGCAGCCAGGAGTCTTCCAGCTCGCCAAACAGGAAAAACACGCCACACCTTGCATTTCTCCTTTGTCTGGAGGTGCGACAATGAGCCTGAAGAGGCACAGGGCTCCGTGCTCACTGCAGACAGTGAGGACACAGTAAGCAGGCCGACCCCCTAGAGTTCTTTCAGACACCGGCCTCAGCTCCACGCTGGACAGTGCAGGGGTCCGAGTCCCTGTCCCGAGCACGGGCATCAATCACGTGTCCCCACTGCGGCCCGGAGCACGGCCAAAGCTCTGTGAGCCTTCCGGAACTCTAAGAGAAGATTCGTGGTGCACACTCTGTGACTTGGGTCCCCTCCACATCCGTGCAAAATGACCAAAAAAGACACAAGTTTTTAAAAGAAACTGAGCTCCCTGGATCGCCATGTTTTCAGAAAGGACATTTTTAAGAAAAACCCAGCCTCCCCCCCAGTCATACAGAAGTAAATGTAAAAAAGTGAACTGATGAGAAAAGAGAGACAGTCATAACACTTCCTGAGAAGGTTCAAGGAACTGCCCGGCACCGTGCTTCCTGTAGCCCTGGGCCAGCGGGCAGCCCTTCCTGCCTAACACAAGACCTAACCTGCCCAGGAAGTGATGGGCTCCGGATTCCCGAAGGTTACAACAGACCCAGGCCCGCTGAACCCCCACAAGAAGTGGGGCCAGAGGGGCCAGGTTGCCAGCATCTGGCTACGCACTGGCCAGATGACTCTCCTCTTAACTCGCCTCTCAAAATGTCGAATACATCTTAGGGGCAGAAAGCTAGACTAACCCACACCACATCGCAGGTTGGCGAAACGCAAGAGGCCTATCAAAGTGCTGGACAAGAACCAGGTACGTGTTCTAGGAACCCAAACGGCTTTATCCAGCCTGACTTCCCAGCAGCCTTAACAATGACTCCTTTACATCAACAAGAGCCTGTGTTTACAAGGGGATCATCTATCAGAACACTTCAATCCAGGCTGGTTTCCATCCACACAACTGGCTGACCCAGGGGACTCACCACCAGCAGCAGGGTGCTCATGGGAGGGGCATGCTAACATTAACTTAACAAAGCTACCATTTAATTGTTTTTTTTATCCTCACCCAAGGACATTTTTCCATTGTTTGTTCAGATAGTGGGAGGGGGAGAGAGAGAAACATCTACGTGAGAGGGACACATCTGAAAGGGACACATCGAGTGGCTGCCACCCGCATGACCCAACCTGGGCCAGGGACAAACTGCAACCGAGGTACGTGCCCTTAGTGGGAACCGAACCTGGGTCTCTCTGGACTGCAGGCCAACGCGCTAACTGCTGAGCCAAACCAGCCAGGGCAACAAAGCTGCAATTTAAGTCAGTCCACCAACCCTGGCCTGTTTTGCTCAGTGGTTAGAGTGTCAGCCCATGGACCAATGAGTCTCGAGTTCGTACCTCCGGTCAAGGGCACGTACCTCAGTTGCAGTTTGTCCCAGCCCTGGTGGGGGTTATATGGGAGGCAACCAGTCGATGTGTCAATGTTTCTTTCTCTCCCCTTCCCACTCTGTCTGATGATAAATAAAAAAATATCCTTGGGTGAGGATTAAAAATTTTTTTAAATAAAAAACATTTTTAAAGTCAGTCCACTGAAATCTTATTTTAATTCTAGGCAAGATCAAATATGAATTATTTGGGGGAAGTCATGCTTTAATTGGAAATCTCCCCCTCCCACTCATTCTATTGCTATAAATAGACCAAGAGAGACCCTGCTGAACTCCAATGAGTAAGGAGGACTGGGTCCCAGCATCAAAGTTCAAAGAAACAGTCATTTCTGGAAACCTGGTGGTCCCTCAGAACAGAAACTGCCACTGAGCTGAACAAGAGGATGCTGAGCCGCCGTCACAACGTAAGCTCTGAAAGGGATCTACTGGTTACTAGTTATGTCTCCTTCCTATAACTCAGGAGAACTTAGCACCCTCACCCCCCCACACACACACACACAAACACACACCCTAGAAAGAGAAGATAGGACTCGAGTTTCAAAAACAAAGGCTTTTCTGCACATATAGCTCAAACTGAAAATAGGGGTGTGTGTGTGTGTGTGTGTGTGTGTGTGTAAAGGAGACCACAGAAAAAATATTTCCTTGTATGGCAGGCAAGTTCAGGATGATGAACTAACGCCCTCTTGACACATTTCCCACTAGGTCTCATTTACTCCAAATAACAAGTCAGTTCTGTGTAGTCTGATGACTCTTAAAAAAACTATCTGAATGTTCTGTCTCCCTCTCCTGAGCTCCAGATCTGCTAGTCAACTGAACACTGAACACCTCCCCATGGATGCGCTGGAGACTGATTAACGTGCCCCAAACTCACCCTCCCATCGTCCCCCAAACCTGGCCCTTCCTTACTCCCCGTTTTAGTGACACATGCCTCCTCCACGCAGTCATCTTGTCAGAACACGACCCACCTCCTCAGCAGCCCTCCCTCTACACAACCCCATCAGAGCTGACTCTAAGGCACCCCTCTCTTCTGCTCCCACTGTCTGCTTCACATCAACCCCCACCTTGAGCCTGTACCGTGAGCAAAGAAACAACAGACTCCCAGAGCCTGCCCCCCGGGGCCTGTCCCAGAGGGCTGGCTTTCTCCCAGATACGCCTCCCGCCCTGCCCTACTCAGTGCCCGTCAGCTCCTGGACAAGGTTTGAGAACTTGTGGAACCTCAGAACTGTGATCCCTGCTGCTCTGATCATCAGTCCACCGTCACTCACTATCCTTCCTGAAACACCCATTCCCCCATTCTTCCCCTAACCCTACTCTTACTCCCCCAATAATGGCTCTGAGATCACCAGCACCAGGAAGCCTTCTGTGACTCCCAGGTGTGCCTCTTAGATACTGCCATGACTTCTGCTACCTTACTTGACTGTCATTGTTGCTCGTGGGTCTGAGCGCCTCGTGCCTATCTTGGCTTCTGCGGTACCTAGCACAGCACCGCAGTGCTCTCCACGTGCAAGCTGGATGAATGGGCCCAGCAGCCCATGGTGCCGAGCCAGAGGCCTGCTGCAGAGAAAACAACAGCCCGGCTAGATCACGAATTAGAAGCTGTACGTAGCGTCTCTGCCACTAAGGCTGTCTCTGTAACGGAAAGGAAACCACTGCCATCAAAGAACCGTTTCTCGCTGGCCACGAGGATGCAGTGGGCACCCCAACAGCCGAGTCAGCGTGACAAGCTAAAATCTAAAATAATTTCAGTCGGTGACTACACAGAACTATTCTCAATGAATCAATGATTAGAGTTACAAGAAACCACACCATTCGGGGAATGAGGAATTGGGAGGTGCAAGTGAGGGAGAAGAAACGAAAGCTAGCAGCCAAGGGTGAGTGGCCATGCAGACATGAGTAACCCCAAACACCAAGGCCACAGAGAACCGGGGGAAAATCTGCAAATTGCGAAAGGCAAGGTCACAAACCTACCCGCGCTATGGTAACATCACCGATCAAAGCACAGGCATTATTTCCAAGGACTACAGAACACATATGTGTTTCTATTTGTGATTTGACTGAGTTTCTGGTGTGATTGTTGACCCAGAAAAACAACCACATGCTCTGTCCGCTGAATCACAAAGAAACATGGGACCACTTGACACTATTTACAAAAAGCGCTTTGGGGAAGTCAACTTAGACTATCCCATCGACACAATGCCCACCCGCCCCCCAGAAAAACCACTCAGGAAGAATGTCATTTTCAGAAGAATTTGTGAAGATTGCCCAACATCCTTTAGTAATCAATTCCAACGCCAAACCATGATTAATGAAGTGGTTTTCATATAGTTTAAACACATACGGGGAAACGACAAAAATCGCCTAAACTTTATCTTCGAGGAGGGAACATTTCTCGAAATGTTAAAACCAAATTTCTCGGTAGTCTGAGGCCAGGAAGTAGAAGCCAGCTGACTTCGCTGCCCCCTAGAATGGACTGGCCTTGGCTAAGAAGCCTCGGGGTGCGATGATGTGAATCTCAAAAGCTTTGCCGAGAGCAGGTGGCCAACAGTTCCGTCCTGTCCTGATTCTATCACCGACAAGTTCCCCTAAATCAGACGTCTTTGCTGAAAACCTTCCGTCACCCAGTGTGAAACAGGTTCCTTCCCATACCTAGAATCAGCACACACCAGACCACAAATGGCCGGGCCCACGGGGCTCGGAGAAACCCTAAGACAATGCAAAGGGTAGTGAAGGGTGCGGTTCTAGGGTTCCCCCCGCCGCCCTGAGGATCAAGTGTAAGGCTCGAATCTAATTTTTTTTTTAAAAAAGGAAGAAAAAAGAGGCATCTGAACTCAAGGGAACTCTCCCTTGGACTCTCAGCCCCGGCTGCAGGCCTCCTGGGCCGGTGTTCCCGCCAGTGCGGACTCTGAAGGACCCCTGCCCGAGGGGACGGCTGCCAAGCCTCCTTCACCGTTTGCATAAGTCACTTCAGTACTTTTCCAGGGCGCAGGCCCCTTGCGAAGCGTGTGCAACAGGGGGTTCGAGTGGCTCCTCGCGCCCTGCCTGAGTGCACTGACTCAGGATTGCTTCACAGCCGGCGGGAGCGAGCGGGGCCGCGCGGAATCCCAGCAGGGCTGATTCACGCCGCCGAGTCACCCGCGGCGGGGCTTGCTCAGGGCCGGGCCCCTCCGAGCCCAGCCCGGCTCCCGCGGCGGGGCGGGCGCGTCCCCTCCCCGGCGCCCGCGGCCAGGCCGCTGCCTCCGGGCACCGCGGGGCGCACACGGGCCCCTCCCCGGGCAGGCGGGCCGCGGCGTGGGGCTCGGGGACTGGCCGCGATGCCGGGCGCGGGGTCGGGGCGGCCCCTCTCACCTCCTGCGCCGGCGGTCCCGGTTCCTGCCGAGGCGGTCGGACAGGCGCCCCAGGAGCGCGGCCAGCCCGGGCCGGCCAGGCAGCAGGCCCAGCAGCCGCCTCCAGAACACCGGCCCGGCCGCCGCCGCCATGGAGACTCGCCGCTTCCGCTTCCGGCGCGCGAAAACTTTATTGACAACGGCGCCGGCGCGGACACGGGGCGGCGCGCGCGCGAGCAGCGGCTGGGACGCGGCCCCGCCCCCGCGGCCTCGGCGGCCCCGCTCGGGGCGCGCAGGTGGCCGCGCGGGTGCTGCTCGCGGTCGCCGGCCTCCCCCCGACCCCGCGGCGATAAGTGGGGGCCTTGCCTTTCAGACCCCGCGGTCCAGGTGGGCTGAACCTGAGGCCGAGGTTGCAGAGCACGGAGAACCGCCACCGGGAGGCGAGGCCGGTCCAGCGGGCCAGCCCCTGGGTGCACCCCAGTGGATGCGCAGCTGGCCGGCAAGGGCGGTTCTAGGGCCGAGAGGCCGGAGGAGCTCGCCCCTGCAGCCAGGAACACTTTGTAGCTGACTTGTACCAAGGAAAACGTTGCCGGATTCTGGGAGGCGGGAGAGGGAGCGAGGGTCTGTAGCCTGTGGCTCCTGGGCAGACCCACGTGGGCTGGGACTTGGACACTGGAAAAGCTGTAGGAGCTAATGATTTCTTATTTAGTCCAGGTGGGGGGTCGTTGTGAGGTTAGAAGGATCTGGACACACTGGATACAACACTTTCCGAATTCCCCTTCCAGCAGATGATCCCAGGTAAATCAATGACAGTTCCCTAGGAGAATGTTCATCTCAGCATCTGTTCATTCAAAAACGTGGACACACCCTGGCGGGTTTGACTCAGCCTTTGGAGTGTCCCCTGTGGACCCAAGGGTCTCAGGTTTGATTCCCAGTCAAGGATATGTACCTAGGTTGCAACCAATTGATGTGTCTCTCTCACATTGATGTTTCTCCCCACTCCCCTCACCCTACTTCCACTCTATATAAGAAAAAAAAAATGAATGTAAAAATATCCTCCAGAGCCCTGGCCAGTTTGGCTCACTGGTTGGAGCATGGCCCGCGGACCAGAGTCCCGAGTTCGGTTCCAGCTGAGGGCACGTACCTTGGTTGCGGTTTGTCCCTGGCCCCGGTTGGGATCATGTGGGTGGCAACCAGTTGATGTGTCTCTCTCACATCCATGTTTCTCTCTCTCTCTTTTCCTCCCTCTCTACCTCCTGCTGTATCTGAAGATGAATGCAAAAAATGTCCTCGGGTGAGGATTAAAAAAAAAGAAAAGAATCCTCCAGAGAGGATTAACAAACAAAAAAAAATGTGGATGCAGTCAACAGCGGGGGAGTTGGTTACACAAATAATGGTACGTCACTACGTTGGAAAAACATGCATCCATAAAAAATTATATTCTTGAAGAACATTTGTTCTAGAAGAATGTTTATTGACATTAAGTGTAAAAGCCAAACTACCAAAGAGTAGTATAGAACTTACTGCATTTTGTTAAAAGTTGAAAAGGGAGAGTGCGTGTGCCAACTAGCAAAAATACACCAAAATGGCCCTGGCCAGTTTGGCTCAGCGGTTAGAGTGTCGGCCTGCGGTCCGGAGAGACCCGGGTTCGGTTCCCGCTAAGGGCACGTACTTTGGTTGCAGTTTGTTCGCGGCCCTGGTTGGTCGTGCGGGTGGCAGCCACTCGATGTGTCCCTTCACGTCAATGTTTCTCTCTCTCTCTCTCCCTTCCTCTCTCTCCCTCCCACTCTATCTGTACAAAAAATGGAAAAGTATCCTCGGGTGAGGATAAAAAAAAAAAAAAGAAAGAAAGAAAAAAAAAAATACACCAAAATGTAAACACCAGTGATTTGGTGCTGTTCAAGATTTTCCAAATTGTTTACAATCAAGTATTTCAGATTGATTTTAATGTTTCCATTACGTTTAGATAGCTTTACAAATACAAGATGGAATTTGATTCAACTGTTCCAGGTTTGATGTGGTGACTCATCAAATTTCCTAACTTCCAGTAACTGGATTAAGACCATGGTTGCCCTTCTGCACCGTGCTCGGCACAGGGCAGTTGCACAGTAGAGGCGCTGAATGGCGGTGCCGTGACGCCCAGTGGGGAGCACCTGGAGGACCATGGGAGCACCCTAAGTGTCCTGAAAAGAGCTGGCCGCTCCTGTTCGCATGTGGTGCTTTGTTGGGTGAGGTATTAAGACAAACAACCGTAGTACTGACCCACTGGGAATTTCCGATTTCAAATAAATTGTAGGAACACATGGTGAGGTTGATAGCATTGTGTTCAGGATCGTATTTACATGGAGTATACACAGCAGGCAATGACCAGTGCCTTTGAGCCGCATACTGAGAGCCTCTGGCCTTCATGGCCGCTTTGAACCCGTCAGGGCTACAACCAGAGTGAAGCAACCACAACTTTGCCCCGGAACACGCACATTTAGATATTGCAAAAATTTTAAATAATGGTTTTCAGAGATTGAGCAAGTTTTTAAATGGTTACATTTACATAATGACAACACAAACACTCATTCCTCCGGGAGGTATCATCTGGGCTTGTTGATGAGAATAAGTACAGCAGATAAGACCTGCCCATGCCCGGCCAATGTGGCTCAGGGGTTGAACACAGACCCACGCACCAAAAGGTAGCTGGTTCGGTTCTCAGTCAGGGCACACGCCCAAGTTGTGGGCCAAATCCCCAGTAGGGGGCCATGCAGGAGGTGGCCAAGTGAGGTTATCTCTCATTGATGTTTCTGTCTCTCTCTTCCTGTCCTTCAAAAATCAATAAAGAAAGAAAGACCTGCTCAGATAGGGCTGGTGCCACAGAGAGCCAGCCTGGGAGCCCTCAAGTAGCCTGGAGGGCAGGCAGTCTGGGCAGACACTCCTGTTTGGGGGATCTCAAGTCACACCTTGATGACCTTCACACCTTGGTGACCTTGGAGAAGGCATCTGTCCTCTGAGAACCCCCTGGTGGATAGGAAGCCCATCTGCTGAGTCCCCCTCACCCACGGCCTTCTCGTTTGTCCACTTGCTTCTTCCCAAACAGGAGGTGCCAAGGTTAGAATGACAGGGCCAGTGGACTGATGACAGATGGTGTCTTCCCAAACGGAAAAGGAAACCCATTCATTGGAAGGGGAGTTGACGTCAAGGAGCGGTGGGCTGCTGCCCCTGATAGCCGGCTGGTCTCTCTCCCTGGCAGGGAGCACCAGGAAATCCTGAGCCAAGGGCCTGTGCCTCACTGTCTGTGATTCACTCCCTGATCTGAAAATCCTGCCAGTGCGGAAGGAAAGCCCCTCTGGCCCTGGCTGCCTTCGTGAGAGGGGGTCTCTCCCAAGCAGAGGGCTGTTCGCAGGCTCATGAGGGAAGAAGAGGCTGGCCAGCCCATTTTCTGCCTCAGCGATGAGAAACCCCCTCCATCCGTTTGACATGGAGGATGACCAGCTGTTTCAGAGGAGGGTCTCGGGTTGTACAGGGAACGGAGCCCGGGTACTCGGGATGGGATGAGAGCAGCCTGGGGCCAATGGCCGCCTCTCCCTCCACTCTTCCACTTGGTCACTGCCTGGCCTCGCCAGCCTGGTTTTAGACTCCTCACACACTCTGCTGCCTTAGGATCTTTGTGTGAACTGTTCCCCCAGCTCCTCCCATCCTCCAAGCTCTGGAGAGGCTCAGGGGGTTGAGTGTCGTCCCATGGACTGCGGTCCAGTTCTATCCTCAGTCAGGGCACATGCTGGGTTGCGGGCTCCATCTCCACTGGGGTCGTGCAGGGGGCAGCCAATCCATGTTTCTCTCTCGCATCGATGTTTCTCTCTCTCTTTCTCTCTAAAAAACCTTTTTTTTTTCCCCAATCCTCACCCAAGGTCAGTTTTGCATTCATCTTCAGATAGAGCAGGAGGGAGAGAGGGAGGAAGAGAGAGAGAGAAACATCGATGTGAGAGAGACACACCGACTGGTTGCCACCCACACGACCCCAACCAGGGCTGGGGTCAAACTGCAACCGAGGTACGTGCCCTTAGCGGGAACCAAACCCGGGACTCTCTGGTCCACGGGCCGACGCTCTAACCACTGAGCCAAACCAGCCAGGGCAATAAAATTTATTTATTTTTTAAAAAGATAGAAATGCCTTCCCAGCCCCATAACACGATTTTATTTTCTTCCCACTACTTCCTGTGATCTAATCTTCCTCACTGATTGATTGCTGTGTGTTCTGTCTCCCTACCCCACTCCCCGCCACGTGCGCCCTTGGAGCCCTGTGTGTTCTGAGCACCCAGAACGTGACCGGGCACCAGCAGTGGGCTCCATAGACACTGGTTTAACAAATGCACAACGGGCAGAAGGGGGTCAACTCCGGAGCCCCCCACTGCCGGAGAGAACCACCTGTTTGAGCTTTTCCACGAGTGCAGGGTGGGGAAAGTGGAGCTTGGCCTCCGGGGTTTTACTACCTGCCACACAGATTGGTTTGCAAACCTGGCCGCTGAGGCCTACCTTTTGGGACCGGCTCCCCTGAGCCCCCGGTCCCCCTTCAGGCCGTGGCCCTTTCCTGCCTTCATTCTCCCCAGGATAGAGTCTCCCCACTGAACTGTTCCTCTGATCTTTTCTGGTCCCTGACACGCTTTCCCTAAAGCGAAGGCCTGACCCCGGCTCTCCCTCGCATAGGCAGGTTTCTGTCCCCCCAGAGCAGGGCTTGGCAAACGTTTTCTTAAAAGGCCCAACAGTAAAATATTTTACACTTTGTGGGCCAGATGGCAGTTAACTCCGGAGCCAAAGCAGCTGCAAGCAGTACTAATGAATGTGGCTGTGTTTCCAATAAAACTTTATTTACAAAGACAGTATGCCAGCTCCTGCACCATCATTTGCCATCCTCCGCTGTAGCAAACAGCTTTTCCCTGAGTGGCCCTGAAACTGGGAGAGATGACGTCTTCTGGCACCAGGGGCCTGAGCCAGCGGGAGCTTTGGGGAGCCCCGGAGGAGCTGAAGGTTGCAAAGAACAAACTTGCCAAACACTGAAGCTCAAATCAGCAACCTCCCCTGTAAGGGTGCGGGGCCCCGCAAGGTTCTCGCATTTATCACTTCAACGTTTCAAGGTTGAAAATCTTGTCATCTGCAAAACAAAACACCTATTGCACAATGGCTC